TCCAGTCCCAGAGAAGATAGAGGAGATAGGATGGACCCCCAGCAGCTTGGAAAGGACAGCATTCACATGAAGTAAAATGCATAAATGAACCTTGTAGCGGTACTGGGATAGTAAAATATTTTGGTTGCAATCTTGCTTTTGCTGCCATATTCAAGAAAGTTGTACAGAGGGGGAAAAAATGTTAAATTCCAGAGTTCCTTTTTTCTCTGCTATTGTGGAAGCAATATTAGCCAAATTAATATGGGAAGAGCTTAGTAAAGACAACCACAAATACCTGAAGTAGTGAGTGTTTGTAAACGTTTCCACTCTATGATTTACAAAATGTAGAGTGGCTGGAGAAAGCAAGCACACTGTGTGTTAATGTTACCAATTCTTTTTTTTTTTAAAAAAAAAAAAAAAAAAAAAAAAAAAAAAAAAAAAAAAAAAACAGCTCCTAAAAAGGCATGGCTAAAATCTAAGAAATCTAAGTTGCACTTTACATATGCACATCTGAAGATAAGCAGCTTTACCCCAAAGGAATGCAGAAACCTAGCTGAACAGAAAAGTCTTGATTTTGAGCCTGTGACCTCTTAGATACATGACTGACTTTGAACAATTGAACAGTGTTGGAGATGCTCACAAAACTAACAATGAACCCATATTTCAATGTGCACATTTCTGAGAACAGATTCAGATGCAGAGACGTTTAATTTCCTTATTGCCATAAACATCACTAGGTGAGTCAGACATAGTCTACCTGTATGGATCAGGGCATACTGAGATCTACCTTTCCCACATGGATTTTGTCAATGGAAAGGATTAAGGAATAATTTTTGTCCTGACATGGTTCCATCCCCTTTTACATGGTCTAGATTAAATTGCTTCAGAGACTACCAGTGAAACTTTAGCCATAGCTGCAGTCCTTCAGGCTTTGTGGCTATGGGGTAGGTTTTCTAGTCATGGAGACTCAGTGAAACAGAGATAAGATATGAGAAGGTTAAGAAAGAGGAAAGGGTAGCTCCTAGGGGAAATATATATATATATATATATATATATATATATATATATATATATATGGACATATATAGAGAGATATAAATCCAATTCTTCCAACAGCACCTACAAACCTGAAAAAAAAAAAAAAAAAGTAAAAATGCATACATACAGTCCCTGGAAGCTGTGTTCCCATACACTAGGAGACAGTAGAATGCGAGACACTACCCAGCCACCTCTCTCTTTATTTTTTCCCTCAGCCTGTGTGCTGTGGTTATACCTTACTTGACTGGCGGTTACCTTGTACTTGGTGCTGTGGTACGCAAAGGTTATTGGAATTCATATGCAAAGCTCAATGAATATAGAATTAAAAAATGCCTCAGAGACATTCCTGAAATGAGATGCCAAATCATAGAAGTTGTATCTTTATGAGGAAAAACTGAATACAAAACACCAAGGTTTATGACTCTTGCACATATTAATTCATACCAATCCATGTTATAAGAGGACTAAAGAGGCTATTTTTCATCTTGAACTGAGACAGAAACCCTGCCAGATTTACTGACATGCTGTGAGAAATCTACTTTAGCAGGCTGATAGATATCTTTTAAATGTAAATCAGAATGGTGAGCTTCTCACAGGGCTACCACCAACAGCCTGTAAAATGCTTGGTGTTGCAGGTCACAAGAGATTTGGGAACAAAGTGAGCAAACTGCTCAGCAAAAACAGACCCTAAACTTGACAATTCATTGTCTGTCTTATATGAAAGTTACCAGAACTGAAATCAAAACATTTTTGTTTTTTATTATACATCCATCTCCTTGGCAGCTACCAATTACCTTGACATTGTAGGAGACTAGATTTTAGAAAATACTACTAGAATTGTGCAGACTCCTGAATTCTTACTACATCTGTGGCCTAAGTATTTTGTCTTTCTGGAGGGAAAAGAGAAAAACAGTTGCTCTATGAAAACCCCAGATGTTCTCTTTAAGGAGCCCTGCATATCTCTGTCATCCCCTGTCTCCTCTTTGTAACCTCTTGGGTTTATATGTAACCTATTGGGTTTATATACTATTTGCTGTGTCATGAACTTGTCACTTCAGGACAATGTTGTCGAGAAACTTACGGTGCCAGGCTCAGAAGCTTGAAGTACTGATGCTGGCAACAGATTACAAAAGCTAGAAATTTCCCCTGCAGACAAACAATATTTACATTAATACAATGGATTCAAATGGACTCAACAACTGGAATGACAGCAGCCATGATATTTTCATCCTGGTATAGACGTTACTGATTTGTTCTCCTGCTGGTAAAAGCACATATCGTGCTCTCTGCATCTTTTTCATGCACGCGTGCAAGCACACACAAGCAGATGACGAGCTTTCAAACCATCCACAGATGGTTTCCCCATCAGAGTTTACTTTGCCATTTAGATCTCCTGCTTCACAGCCTCCTCTTGGTGTTGCAGTCCCTATTTTCTGTAATTAAATTCTGTTCCTCCCCTCAGTTTTTTACAAATGCTTTTCACTCTGATGCTTAGAGTCAACTGTCTCCCCAAAGCTCTGTGATATTTAATGGCATCCGGAAAAAATGTGGTTAGAGAATTGGGACACTTAAAGGAGACGCTGCTCTCCTAAGTGTGCATTCACATTTATGAATAGATATTCAGAGGGTGGGAATGTAGATGAGGGAGAAGCTATGAAAGGGCTTATTACTAATTAACTGTATCTATTTCTCCCCCTTTTAAACTGCTTTTTGTTTATCATTTCAGCTGGTAGAGTAATACACTAAATTAAAGCTGCAGAACACAATTATAATTAAGATTCTAAAGCCAATTGCCTGTTAGTAAACTACCAATTGATAATAATGTAAGGGATATTTATAACACTTTGCTAAGTATGCTGCAGATTTTCATCAATAACTTAGTTGCTAATCTCCAAACATTTTATTCACTAGCCTTCTATTTACTATTGAAGGTAGGATTAGTCTTCTCAAGCCATCCTTTCTAAAAGTATCTCGCTTTCATCTTGTTTGCAGAGTTCAGCAAACACAGATGCTTCAATCCTTTCCTCTCCTATAGAATAGCAATGTTATATAATTGCCAACATCTCACCATGCAGAAAACTTTGCAATAACTGAACTACCATACGTAGTTCAGCACTCACAACATCTTGCATTTAAACAGCTCCTTCCTTCTGAGTCGTGTTACTCTATATTCTAGGCAGGGGAAGCCAAACCACCTTAGCCATGAGAGAAATTGGCCAGTTCGGGGCACAGACCCAAAACATAAAGCTCAAGTTTTCTTTTCTTTCACAGGGAGAGCAAACAAGAATGGTTTAAACACTTAAAAAAAAAAAAAAAAAAAAAAAAAAACATTTACTAAGGTGATAGATTTTGTTCTGTGTTTGGTGTGTGTTACTAGTGGATTAATTATTAACCTTCATAACTTCTTTTAATTTTTATGAAACATCTGCATAACTGTCATTTCAGCTGTGGAATGAAATGTAAATCATTGCACTGTGGCTTTTTTTTTAGTGTATGAAGTATGTTTCTTGTGTCATATGTTTGCTAAGGTCCGAGTGGCCTCATAATACAAATTATTGGAGCTATTATGAGACATTACACATTACCCCGTCACATGTACAGCAGTAAAAGAACTTAGGCACAGGTGACTGTCTACTACCTACAACATGCAGGGAACAGCATGATTATATTGAAAACTCACGTGACTGCATGGGAATCACATCACTAGCTCTTCCACAGCAGGTAGCGTAACGAGTGGATAGCTATTATTCAACTGAAGTGGTAGTGAGCTGAAGGGGCGTGGAGATCTGCTGTACATGTGTACTGTCAGCAGCTCTTCGTGAGATGCCTTTGGGAGACCAAGAAGTGGCATCTTGGAAGGTCAGCACTAGAGAGACAACTGATGAAGCATGAGGGTTTCTTGTGTGTTATTGTGCAGTGACTGATCCTGAAACAGAGCTGCAGCTCCTCCCAGCCACAGTTGGCCCTCCAAGTCAGCCTATAAATACTTTTTGTTTATTCTTCAAGGACAAATATGTTACAGCTCAAGCTGGAAAAGCAAGTGAGAGCTGAAAAAAAAAAAAGGGGGAGGATGCAGGGTGGTGGTGATGATGGGGAGATAATGGTACAAAGAGAAATGGGTGGGATGCAAGGGACAGCAGTGAATACCAAGGAGAGTTCTGATGTCACTGCAACAGGAAGAACTGCAGCATGCGAACATGCAAGAATCAGTAAGCTTCCCAAGGTAGCACATATTTTTCCCTGAATCTCTTCACTTTGGAGCTAGACAATGTCATCATTCCCATAGGTTGTCTGAGCACAGGGTGAATCCAGGTGATGATTATGCAAGCAATTTCTTTTTCCTAAGCTGCCTATCATGAATTTTATTAAGGGTGGGCAAGTGAACTGACTCGCCCCAGGACTGACCAGATAATTACATGGTCATTACCAACCACATTACTGAAGGGTAAATATGCAGTTATTTTTATCCATAAAATCAGCTCTTTCAACCCTAAGATTAATTCCACATTATTATGCAGCAATATGTAATTATTATAAGACAGCTTCTACCCTCAAAGAAGCAGGCAGTAGTCCAAGTGAAATCTTTCAGTGTTTTAAGTAAGCCATGCAATCTGACAGCAGGATTTGTCCTCTACCAGCTACCCAATAAAAATTATAAAACTGTAACTAGAGAATAGGCAATTACAATGATCTGTTACCAGGCATAAGCTCTAAGAATTTCTATTCCATTCAGTTTTGGAACCAAACCCACATTAAAAAAAAAAAAAAAAAAAAAAAAAAAAAAAAAAAAGCATTATGTGGGGAAGCATGTTGTCATAACACTTAACCTTCCCATCACAGAATGTTGATCACTGTGAGTGGTACTACTCCTGAGAGGAAGCACTGGCAAGTCTCTCTGGAAGTGGATGTTAGATAAAGGATAGATGAAAGGTAACACTATCATCACTGCTGATGTTCCTTGTAACTCTTTTCATTTCTTGCAGGTACTGTTGCATGATTTACCATGGAAAAATTGCTCTGCAGCATCCTGGTGTTTGGAATGGCTGTCATGGTCAACGCTTGTCCCAAATATTGTGTCTGTCAGAACCTGTCTGAGTCACTGGGGACTTTGTGTCCCTCCAAAGGTCTCCTGTTTGTACCACTAGACATAGATCGAAGGACTGTTGAACTTCGCCTCGGGGGCAACTTTATTATTAATATCAGCCGACAGGACTTTGCCAATATGTCTGGGCTTGTTGACCTCACTTTATCCAGAAACACAATCAGTTACATACAGCCCTACTCTTTCACTGACTTGGAGAGCCTTCGGTCTTTACATCTGGACAGCAACAGGCTGCCTGACATTGGAGAGGATATTTTGAGAGGCTTAATTAACCTTCAGCACTTGATTTTAAACAACAACCAGCTAAGCAGCATTTCTGATGAAGCCTTTGAGGATTTTTTGCTGACATTGGAAGACTTAGACCTTTCCTATAATAACCTCCGAAGCATTCCCTGGGAATCTATAAGAAAGATGATAAACTTGCACCAGCTCAGTTTGGATCATAACCTGATAGATTATATTACAGAGGGGACATTTGCAGATCTTCAGAAATTGGCCAGGTTGGATCTAACGTCCAACAGACTTCAGAAGCTTCCCCCTGATCCTATCTTTGCCAGATCTCAAGTGATTCCATTAGCTGTTACACCATTTTCTCCACCTTTATCTCTCAGCTTTGGGGGTAACCCCCTGCACTGCAACTGTGAGCTGCTGTGGTTAAGGCGACTTGACAGGGATGATGATATGGAAACTTGTGCTTCTCCTCCAGGTCTAAAAGGAAGGTACTTCTGGTATGTACGGGAGGAAGAATTTGTCTGTGAGCCTCCTCTTATCACACAACATACTCACAAGTTGCTCGTTTTAGAAGGGCAAACTGCTACACTGAAATGCAAAGCCATTGGGGATCCCACCCCCATCATTCACTGGGTGGCCCCCGATGACCGCCTCATTGGGAACTCTTCAAGGACATCTGTCTATGACAATGGCACCTTAGATATTCTCATCACCACATCCAAGGATTACGGGACTTTTACATGCATAGCAGCCAATGCTGCCGGAGAGTCCACCGCAACGATCGAGCTCTCAATTGTTCAGCTCCCTCACCTCAGCAATGGCACAGGCCGAGCAGCTCCACCAAAATCCAGACTCTCAGACATCACCAGCTCCAGCAAGTCTAACCGAGGGGAAACAAAAGGCCCACCAGAAAGGGCTGTCCTGGTGTCAGAGGTGACAACTACCTCAGCTTTGGTGAAGTGGACAGTGAGCAAGTCAGCCCCTCGGGTAAAAATGTATCAGCTGCAGTATAACTGTTCAGATGATGAAGTCCTGATCTACAGGTAAACGCAGTTGCTGTTTTGTTCTCTGATGATGGCAGTGGGAGGAAAACAGGATACGAAATCTTTTACTCTTAAATCACTGATTCAAATTTGAGCTGACATAGCAGTGCCGCTGCCACCGATAAAGTTAGTGGTGTCTGATAAGTATGTGCTGCTTTTGTCAATCTGTCAGTTTATCTGTTGGTCTGTTCATCACTTTTCTGTCTGTTTTGAGTCATACATTACAAATCTCTGTAGTATTCATTCTCTAACAACAACTGTTTTCAGTAACATTTCCAATTTATAAAAAAGCAATAGTACCACAGTTGGTACCCTCCTTACAATGCTTAACAAAGAAAGCAAACCTGACAGGCTGGAAGTCAGAAGTTTCCCTTTCCACCTCCTGTAGGTGGGATTGAAACATACTACTGAGAGAGGAAGCATTGTGGGAGTAAGTTTGTGCTGTCTGCCCATAACACAGGCTCTAATTATTCTGTGATTCAAGATTCAGGGTTGTTAGCAAGAGATTTTTCACCCATTTGAAAGAGCTTGTTTCTTACTTCACTAACATCCATTTTATACAACTGTAATTGCTTACAACTTTGGAACATTTAATGTTTTATACCATATTAAATGCAAGAAGAGATAGAGATAATTTTGAAAGCAAGCCCTGAATGCTCATTAAGCTCCTTCAGTTCTACAACTTCTCTAACTTTTAATGATATATATATTAAAAAAAAAAAAAAAAAAAAAAAGTTGCTCTTGCAGTGAACCTAGCTATAAAAAAGAAAGAAAATTTATTAAATTTGGGGGATTAAAAATAGGTAGGAAATTGCTTAATAAAACAGGAAAATAGTGTTACTGCTTTTTCCATTTTAGAATAACGATTGTCTTTGTCTTTGGATACATGTGAGCTACTAGTGGAAGCCAGAATCAAGGGGCAAAATAGAACGAAACACAAATTCTTATAACTTTGCAAGCATCCTGAATCCAGTGAAGAAAAATAGGATCTGGCAGAGGAATGCTGGTGTTTGGGTTTTGACACTAATTTGAGAAGAAACTCTGCCCCCAAAAAACAGTCAGAGCCATTGATTTTCTTGGTAGGCTTTTGGTTACTGTCTGCTGACCTGCAAACCACTCTGTCTTTCTCAAACTGCCTGCAGTGAGAAGTGAGGCACTTGTCAAGTCATGGTACTCAGACTCCAGACCCAGAACAGACCTTGCTATTTTCTTTTTTATCATATAGTATTATTGTTGTTGTTGTTGTTGTTTATCATGTAAAACCAAGAAGTAATAAATGTTTATATAATCTTTTTCGCTAACCCTTCTCCTACAATGAATTGTAATTCTAATGTTGTTTACAGAACTGAATGTTAAGTTGTTATGGCAGATTTTTTTTTGCAAGGAATAGTTTTGTAACAAACACATGGTGAGCAGAATTAACAAAGTGATTTACTTAGCTACTTCAAACTTAGCCATTCTTTGCCAGAAGTAGGAATATTGATAAGGAAGTCCAAGGAGTATTTTTAAAGGATATTTATTCAAATACTGAAGAAATATGAGGAAACTCAGTTCTGTTCATTTCAATTCCTCAATTATAAAAGTATGTTGAAATAATCAAATCAATTAGCAGATGGAAATTATCTGCCTTACTCTGGATAATGTACCATGGAAGTGGTATGTCAGCCTTGGGACTTGCAGCCATGTACAGTTAAGGAAAATGAAAGTCTAAGATAAAGCTTAGTAATGGTAGAGTATTAGGGATAGAATAAAAGAAAATGTGTCAGTGCCAGTTTTTCTTTAGGCAAAACTTTTGGCAAGAACTCAACCAGCATTTAAGATCCTGAGCACAGCAAAAGTTTGGAAAAAAATACTCTGAAGAATGTGCAGTCATATGACCCTGTATAGTCAATTTGTTACAGTGAATAAGAATATCCCTGAAACTGAAAAAAAAGAAGTTTGTGGAGGTTGTAAGGTGTTGGAATTGATTAAATGTGTTGGTTTGCCAAGGAGGGAGATGGCCAAAGTAAAACAATGCAGAAGGGAAGTCACATAGTCTAGTAGCTGTAGAAGTGAGAATCAGGTGCCAAAAACAAAAATGAAAGAAAGACGCCATCTTGCCAGTCTGGTCTGGTGGAGCAAGGGGCTGTCAGGCAACTCTTAATTCTTATCCTGTCCTCACTGCTGCTTCTCAGTCCTCAGTCTTTTGGTCCTGTCACTTTACTTGTTTGTGGCTCATTTTTCCAGAAGCACAGTGGTAAGGATAGTTCTATTTCCATAAAACTCCCATTGGGACTTTTTGAGGGTTCATTGATGATGTGTAGCTATTTTCATTCAAAGCTCTCAAAGGCACTTCACCAAAGAAAACAAATTTTATTTCCCTACATTTTGCACCAGGGGAAAATCAAACATAGGAAGATGAAGTAAATTGTCCAGCATCTAAGAGTTAATCAGTGGCACTCATATATATCAAAAACAGCTCTTATGACCTGCAGCCAGGGAACCACTCAGTCCCTTAGAGTTAATTAACTAAAGTTGTTTTGCTTTAATTGGTCAGATGCATGTCACTGCAATGGCTGTGTAGAAAAACCTAAGGGAAAAGGATTTTTACAGTGCTGTGTTCTATAAAATGCTGTGTATGTGCTAAATGGGATGTGATACTGCTTAGCTACTGAAATGACGGGCACTTAATATACATTCAGATACAACAGTGTGCCAAGACTGAGGCCCACTGGCTGTGCTCAGCTTGAAGGAATCCTGCCTTAGTAATAAGAAATTTTGTATGCACAAGACAAAAGTTTGCTTTATTCTCTGCTCAGCATTTTTCATGAACATTGTACTCATAGTGAAAGAATGAAAACAGCAGTTCTTCCCCCATGTTGGTATTAAGCTGCTTCTTGATCATTATGTAAGATAGCAGTCCCATTTCTGCTTCCATCCCAGCTATGGGTTTCCATCTGCAGGAGCTACAAATGATACAAATGGGACCACAATGGCATGTAATGACCCCATGAAAATTCAAGTATTTACTGTTGGGTGTCCTGATTTCACTGAGCTGAACTGGTATCAGAATCTGAAGTTTGGCTCTTGATAGACCAATGTCACTGTACTGAGAATTAGTGTAAGGAACACCGTTTGTCTGCTTCCCATTCTGACTTCCCTTTTATTCGCTGTCTCAGGACCACTGCTGAAAGTAGCAGCAGGATTTTTTTTTTTCTGATCACTGGTCTCAGGACCACTGCTGAAAGTAGCAGCAGGATTTTTTTTTTTCTGATCACTGGTCTCAGGACCACTGCTGAAAGTAGCAGCAGGATTTTTTTTTTCTGATCACTGGATGCAGAATGCATGTTTCTAATACTGGTCTAATGAACACAGATCTTGATCAGCACTGAGTTCCACATGACTTCCCAGTGAGAAGGAGAAATCAGAGTGAAGGGAGCAGTAGCTTGTACAAAGGTCTCAAAGAGGCAGTTTGGTCAATATCAACTTGCAATGACAACCTCTGTCACAAAATAAATAACCTAGGGTGCTATATATTTGCCATATCGCTGCCAAAAGGGAATGTTCCTTCTTTTATGAACCATGCACTTAGCCACTAGTGGAAATCTAGAGCTTCTATTTTGAGCCCTGACCTGTGGTCATGTGGGAAAAGATCCTACAAGAGGATCCTGTGTTACATACAGGTGAACACCATTGCTTTACCGATCTATGCATGGTTCCAGTGAGCTCTTTATCTTTCTCTAGCTTGTCCTTGCACTGGTTTTAGTAATCCTGCTGTCAAGATAATTAATTAGTTCCACCTGGAATTGAACCAGGATTCCTCTCCCTAGGTAGAGTGAGAAAAAAAGGAAAGTTTGTTTTACCTTTTTTTTTTTTTCCTTGTTTTGTATTTTTTTTTCCTTTTCTGATTTGTTGCACATTCATTCCAACTTTTCTTTCCTCTTCATTCTTCTTACACTGATAATAACAGTCTTGTTCATTTTTGTGCCATTCAAACCCAGGCTACCCTGGATGGAGAAGGTGAAGCCACATCTTGGCTAACAGGTGCAAATCTTTGTTATCTGTGTCTTGTTTGTATTGATAGGTTTTTTTTTGTTTGTTTGTTTTTTGTTTTTTTTCCCCCACTGGTCAAGGTTATTCAAAAATGCCCTTTTAAAGTGGAAAATATTTTTGTTGTTGTTGTTAGCAACTTCAAGTACATTTTTTAAACTACTATCAACTAATAAAGTCCCTTGGCTAGCACATGTAACTGTGATTCATGCTGCTCCAGTCCAGAAAACTAGGCATACATGGGCCCTGATGGAATGGACCTATGAGTGCTGGCTTGATGTCATTGTAAGGCCATTTTCAATTTTCTTTGAATTGGCACTTGGGAAAGGCATCTGAGGACTGGAAAAAAGCACACATCACACATCTTCAAAAAGAGAAAGAATGCAGGAAAGTACAGCTTGATCAGCCTCACCTCTATCCCTGGAAAAGTGATGAAGCAATGAATTCTAGGAACCATTTACAGGAAAATGAAGGACAAGAAGGTGGTTAGGAGTAGTCAGCATGGAATCACAAAGTCATGCTTGACCAGGCTGATAACTTTTTATGAAGAAATAAGCAAATTGATAGACTAGAGAAGACAAGAAAAGAGCAGTGTATATTTTCTACTTCGGCTTCAGTAGGGCTTTTGACACCGTCTTATAAAATCCTCATTAATCTTCACTAAGGATGTGAATGATGGGCAGAGTGTGCCCTCAGCAAGTTTGCCAAATACACAAAGCTGAGATGAATGGGCGATATGACAGAGGGTCATACTGCAATCCAGACTTCAACAAGATGCAGAAATGGGCTGACAGTTCCCTCATGAAGTTCAGAAAATGGAAATACAAAGTCATGCCTATGGGTAAATTTGACCCCATGCACCAGTATATGCTGGGAGTCACCTGGCTAGAAAGTAACTTTGCAGAAAAGGTCCTGGGAGTCCAGGTGGACACCAAGCTGACCACAAGCCAGCAGTGTGTCCTTGCCCAAAGAAGGCTAATGGTATCCTGAACAGAACTAGGAGGAGTATTGCCAGCAGGTCAAGGGACGTGATCCTTCCCCTCTACTCAGCACTGATGACACAGCACCTGAAGTGCTGGGTCAGGGCCTGGGCTCTGCAGGGCAAAATGGACACACTGGGGGAGGTCCAGCAAAAGGCCATGAGGATGACTGATGTCCTGAAGCATCTGACATCTGAGGGCAGGCTGAGAGAGCTGGGGTTGTTTAGTCTGAAGAAGAGAAGGCTCAGGGGTTATCTCATTAATGTATATAAATACCTGAAGATGAAAGAAAGACGAAGCCAGGTTCTTCTCAGTGCCGTCCAGTAACAGGACAAGAGGCAGTGGAAACAAACTGAAGCAGAGGAGGCTCCATCTGAATATCAGGAAACACTTTTTTACTGTGAGGGTGATCAAGTATTAACGCAGGTTGTTCAGAGAACCTGTGGAGTCTCTATCTCTGGAGATACTTAAAACCTGTCCTGGACAGCCTGGTGAAGTGGTGAAGGTAAACCTGCTTGATCGGGGGGTTCGACCAGATGACCTTCAGAGGTTCCTTCTAACCTCAGCCATTCTGTGATTCTGTGAACAACTGTAAGATTAATTGCATTTCTCATTGTCTTTTTTTTTTTTTTTTCCCAAATTTTCCCCACCCTTGCCAGTACCTCCTGTTAGAAATCTTAAAGTGAGACTGACACTTGCTAAGAGGATGTGAAGTGGAAACAACAGATGGTTCAGTGATCTTCCGGTCTCCCCTGCTAGTGAGTAGGAAGGTGTTCACACAGCAGCCAGCCATGTGCTACAGCACAACAGGTAGAGCTGCCATTTCCTTTGACACTGTAACCTAATCACTGAAGAAACTATTTTTGTAACTGTACCTCCAGAAGAATAGGGTGCAATTTGCAAAGGCCAGAGCCAAGTGAGTATAGGTATGCTTAGAGAGTTATGTTGGTTTTTAATGCAGCAGCTTTTCCATCCTTCATCATTTTTTTGTAATATAAATCACCCCTAAACAGACACTGCTGACAGTAAATGTGTATTGTGCCAATCACTTTTAGCCAAGACAAGGAGTCTTTTACAAAATACACAACTTTAAATCACTTCCTATTTGAATGAAACAAAACATAAAAACAAACAGACAAACAAACAAACAAAAAACACATCATGAATGCAGGAAGAGCAACCAATATCCAAAAGAGAAAGGGATGGGAGAGGCCTGCAAAGCTAAGTCTGTCCTGAGGCTCAGGTGTACAGGAGCAAACTCTGGGACACTTACTCTATCACAGAAATCCTACCTGTTCTGGGAAAGTTAAGAGTGCCTTTTTCTTCATCTAGCCACCTTTCAAAATTATTGTAGAAGTTTAAGATCCTCAGACTTATTATCGGTACAACTCAGGCACCTGCAGGCTTAATTTATTTTGAATATGGAATTGAACTAAAATATGAAAATTTGGAAAGTGATCTCTTTAGGCCTTAGTTTCCCACCTCTAAATGATATGACAGCACTACCTTGCCTCATAAGGATAAACACTTTAGAAAACATTGTGGAAACAGAAACTCACATAAACGAGTAGGAAAAATGCTGCTTTTAAGTCATTGTTTGGCAGCAACAGGGATAGTCGCGAATTATTACAGTGGAGCATTACATAACCATAACACCTGAATTTAACTTAGGCATTTGGGGATAGAGATTGTCTATTCTGTGTGGTGTGCACCCTACATGATGTGGAACCACATCTCAGTTTTGGCCATTGGGCATTGGTGTAATATACAAAATCACCACAATTTCAAAGGATGAAGAAGCCTGCAAATGTTCTGTAGAACTTCCCGGGTTATACTGATCCTGCTGGCTGTGTTTTGAATTAAAGCCCTGATGCAGCCACTTAAAAATGTGTATCTGAAATGTGACATAGTCATTAGATTTATGAGATATTTAGGTCTGTTTTATTTTGTGGTATTTCATACTAAAAGTGATAAAAACATCTGCACAAATTGAGAATTACTGTAGCACTACATTTCCCCTGGCTTATAAATTCACCACTGAAGAAAACAAAACAAAACAAACAAATAATAATAATAATAAAAAAGGTAAGAAAATAAAAGAATGCCACCACCACCAAATTTTATATATTTCTGAAAGCTAATTTTTTCCATATATATTTTACGTTTCAGGCAGTTTAAGCATTAAATATGAATAAATGTCTCCACATCTCCAGCCTATTTAAACAGTGGTGCCATGGGTTTTATTATTTAAACAACAGAATAATGATTTACATTTACACAGAATCTTTCACTGCAAGTGTTTTACAGACTGGCTGAACTGAGGTCACTCCACTGACCACTACTGTCATGTCACCTCTCAGTTATATATTAGCTGTAGTTTGGCAGTCAGGTGATAGTGCAACTGCATTTTATGAACAAAGAATAACTTCAGCATTTGCATTTACGGATACTTTTACTTAGGTAGGAAGTAATTAACTGAATTTGAATTTCCCACAGCTTAGTGGAATAAATGTATCTATCCACTCCTCTATTCCACTGCATGTCAATTTGGAATGTTTTATGGCTAAAGTGCTGCAAACTTCAGGAATATCTCAGGTGTGTAAGGGGTTTATCTCCAAAAGCATTGCCACACTGGACACAGATCATGCATCAGAGGAAGTGCCACCATCTAGATTGCTAATATTTCTGGCAATGAAAGTCTACTGTGTGGAGGTCTACCAGCTAATGACTGAAAACACAGGAAGTCCTGCCTTGTTTAGTAGTTAGAGCAAATAATCTTGACAGCCTGATGCTATAATAAAGCATAATTACATTAATTTTGCTCTGTAGAAAGTCAAAAATACATAGTTATGGCAATTTTAGAGAAGACAGAGGTTTATATTCTTCAGAAAGTCCTGAACTTCTATCTTTACTTGTGATTTGGATATGGGGTTCATACAGGTGAAGACTTATGTGTAAATGTCTTTCACTCTTCACCCTCTTTCTCATTCCCATCCTTGTCTCAAACTTGGCTAGGCATTGAACTACCCTCTAAGGCTCAGAGCTGGTGAAAAAACTGAAAAAACTGCTTCTCCATCTCAGCATGTGAGCTGAGCTATTGCAGTTCCAATGTATCCAGGATACAAGTCTTTATTTGGTCAAATCATTTATATATTTAAACATTGGATAAAACAACTATTGGTATAAAGAATATCACACAGAGACATTAATCATCATGTATTAATCATTTATATTTGACAGGCTGAGATAGCAACTGTGTGAAAATAAAAATGTGAAGTCACAGTCCCAAAGGGAAGCAAAAAGCCTATAAGCAGAGCAGGGAAAAGTCTAACATGGATGTTTGATACTTCAGGTCATTTGCAAGGTGTTTGCAGCAGCAGTGTGCATTGACTTCTAGAGGGTCCTCAGCATGTACAGGCTTCCTGAAAGGCTTCAGACATAATGAAGAAGCTGTTTCATGGCGGCATATATTCTGGGACTGTGGGGTTTTGTTACACCTCTGCTGAAAAATTTTCATCTCCCCTTTTTATATTTTCTCTTGCTGAGAGAAGTACAGTGGCAGAGTTCGTCTGTCCTTCCTCCCTTCCTCCCTTTTTTCTTTCTTTCTTTCCTCCTCCCTCTCTCCATTCCTGCCTTCCCGCCTTCCTCTTGCTTGTTTTGTTATTTGTTTTGATTTTTTTCTTTGCAATATAAAAAGTCTTTGAGAGACAAAAAAGAAAATGCAGTGAAAATGGTAAAAAAAAACAAAACAAAAAACAAAAAACACACACACACACACACACAAAAAGCGTCTATTTACAGTCAATGAAGTGGGAAATAAAAATATAAAATATTAATAAATATATTAGTATAATGCAAATGGAAAATATACAAATAATCAAGAATTAAGGGAAAATAGATGTATAGCTTGGTATTGTCACTAAAGTTTTCCTAGACTGTTTTGATAAACAGTCATCCATCTGATACAGCAACTGATAAGAAAACCATTGGTCATTGGCAGTTCAGTTTGTCATGAGCAGTAGATCATACAAACACTAGCCAGATGGATATTTTCTTGCCTTATAATTGACTCAGAAAGGCAAAATACCAAATGGTCACTTTTCCATGTAGGAGATATGTCCTTTCGTGTGAATACGTGGGAAGTATGTAGGGCATGTGAGAAGGAGCTTGTGACTCCAGGCCACAGGGACTGGCGTGCCAGCACCTTTCACCAGTTTGGAGGCATTCCCATTTCTTTCAAAGTTTAACAACTGTCACATAACGTTTAGTGAGGTATATGGAGAATTTGTATGTTACAGCTCTAGCCCCGAGCTCTGCCTCAGGAGCTGAAAACAAAGGCAAAGAGCCTGATTCTTATCTCAGCCCCTGTTGTGCTTCTGGGAAGTATCCCTGTCAGGGGTGTTGCACAGGGTAGGAATGAATTCAGAATCCGTTTTCAGCATAAGACAGCAGTACTCTTGTTTTATCTCTGCTGCTAATTATTTATTAGAGCTCATCAAAGGCTCAGCATTTCTTCTTGAGGGGAATTCACGATGAGCTAATGCTTGCCTATAACATCTGCCACATCCCCTCTCTTAGCTGCTCCAAATCCAAATGCCAGGAGCTGTCCCAACCCGTCATTGCAAGAACAAGCTATGCATTTGATACCAAAATGAACTATTGAAATAAGATTTTGATTAAGCTTCAGGTGAGTCAACATTTTGATGTCTAAATGAAAAGTTTTAATGTATTCAGATTCATAGCATTCATGAATATTAACAAGCCAGCATACGGCTGCTCAGCTACCACTATCTTTGCTATTTTAAATCTAGGACAGATTTATAGCAATTCATGTGCTACTCTGTGCAGAAAAAAAAAATGTTGTCAGCTTCTGACTACTTAACAGTAACAACTTCCCATATCATTCATAGTCATGAAAAGTAATAACAGTTAGTATGATAGTTAAAAATATTAACTACTTAAATATTTGACTGAAGGCTTGACTCAAAGTCCTCAGGAATTAGTAACCACCACTGACTTTGCTGGGCTTTGGTTGAGCCTGAAAATCTTGTGGTTTAGGATTAGTTTTGTTTTCTAGAGAGGAAGAGGTAGAAAGAAGGAGGTTAAATAGCTTGCTCAAGGTAAATTGGTAAGGTAGTGGAAGAAACAACATCTCTCCAGAAACACAGCTGGGAGTAGTCCTGATTTAGCTTTCAATGCATTCCTAATAAAGTCCTTCCTTGCACTTCAAATGATAATTTCCCCTCTTAATGTCACAATTTGGGAAAATACAGCATTCTTAATGTTGTTACTGTTGCTAAATATATGTTATAAATCTGTTTGACTGGGGAAAAACATCTTCAGTAGTATCAGTCTTAGATCAAGGCTCTAACAGTAGAGCATGTAAGTGCGCATCAGAGGGGTCTCCTCTCCTTAAAGGAATAGTGCAAAGAATGAGGCTTCATTTCCTCCATAGCTTGTATACGTAATGTATGCTTATGTATGCAAAATGCTCCATCTGATGTCTGAGTCTAACTTCTGCAGATGGTGCCTGCAGCAGGTTCACAATGCACCTGTCTTTCCAGTGCTGATCCACTGAGTTCCAGGTGGGGCCAGAGAACCACCCTTCTAATTGCTTCCTCAGCTTGGGTTACAACTGCAGACATCTGGGTCACTTTAGGAAACCTTGAAAAAAAAAATTAAAATTAAAAAAAAAAAAAAAAGACTCTAACAACTACTCCCAGTCTTACTAAATCTGTATTTGAAAACTTGCTCTCTCACCTCAATACCCAGGATTCTTAAGGATAGTACAGACATTTCCTTTGTTCTTCACATCTTCTATCTCCAAACAGAAAAGATTCCATAAAAACAATGGAGTCTGATGACAAGATGGGGCTCATAAAGGCATAATGAAAATGAGGCTCTGAGAGAGTTTGGACTATACAGACACTCTGTAAAAAAATAAAAATAAAAATAAAATAAAATAAAAATAAAAATAAAAATAGCTTTACTGCCACTGTGGCAATGAGAAAGTAGCCCAAATGTTCTTGAATCATATTCAGAAATACTGATTTATAAGAATACGAAACCTTTAGAAGAATATTTGACTGCCTTTCACCAAGTACTTTCCAGATTTGTTCCTCACTGAGAACACTGTGGCAGACACCCTCTGCCTGCCCCCAGGGAAGAGGTTGGATCTGGGCTGGTGAGTGCAGGATGGTTGCACTTGCTGCCTTGCCATCCCATCCTCATTAAATACACCCTGAGAGGAAGATTGACCCTCCAGGACAGTCTTTCAAGAAAACAAGAAGAACTCAGGTTTAAAAAATTTGTTTCAGTTAAGTCTGTCTTTGAAGAGGAGAAAAATAGGACCAGTGTCTTTTTTCTTTTTTTTTCTTTTTTCTTTTTTTTTTTTTTTCTTTTTTTTTAACCATCATTAATTGATAGAAAATGCCACTTCCAGTAAGGATAAGTTTTTATTTGAAGAGAGGAACACAAGGAACATAAATGCACAGATTTAAAAAAAATAAAATAAAAAAAATCTTTGGGTAGACCTAGCATTCTTCACAGAAATCAAAAGACTAAATGGTATCTGCTAGCCAGCACACAGGATGCCTCTTAGCCAAGGGGTACTAAGGTTGTCTTGAGTCTCATGACCTATAATTAATTGTAGGACTGTGTAAAGAACAGATGCTTATGGCAGTAGACACCAAACAAACAAAGACAGACAAATAAGAGGTGTCTTTCCTCAGGGATCTTATAGCCTGCAGAGGTGAGAGGAGTTTCATGTAACATCATCCCATGTCTACCTGACCAGATATCTTCAGAGTATATTGACATAAAATGTTGTGCATGCATATTATAGAGCAGCCTAGCTTTGTATCACTACTGTAGCTGTAGACTCAGCTATTTAATTCTTTATTCTGAATTTCCTGTTATAACCTCTCTCTTACACACCAGGCTTTCAGCTTGCACACCCAGTTTGTTTTCAGAAAAACTGTAGCTTTTTGTATGAATGCACTAATTAACCTAAACTTACGATAACAATGATTCAGCTTACTTCCTTAGAGGAATGACTGAAGACTTATTTTTGAGAAGTCTAAAACTCAGTAAGATACACCACTGGAAAAAAAAAATAAAGGAAAATAGGAATACAGTAGACTGAGTAAATGATATAGTAATTCTTCATTACCTTTAGATCTTACAAGTCTGGTTAATTTTGGATTTCCCCCTAGTAGACAAATTTTCTGGGCAAAATATATGCACTCTGAGTGAAGAAAATTCACTCTGTTCAGGTTCAGGCCATCCAGTACAAAGTGAATATAAAATTTGTTTCTCATTTAAACTTATTTTGAAGCTGTAAGTGACGTGGTTGCATTTAGTAGTCTTTGTGGTAATGCTCTGGTCAGGAAAGGATGAAAGAGAAGGATTTCAGACAAGCTAAGAATCTTAAGACTTGAGGCAGAAATCAGGTTCATATTCCAAGTAAAGTTTTGAGTGTTCTACTTGTAGATTTTCAATGAAGGCTTGTACTACAAGGGAATCATTTATTCTTTTTTGTTCTTAAAAGCACACAGCAAGAAGGTAACTCAAATTTTTGATGGTGAAGAAAGAAAATGTGAGGTAATGGATGTCTTTGAAAACATAATATAGGTTATTTCGTTGTCATATTACTCTTTTCCCCAAAATGTGTCTCGTTTCACAGTCTAATAAGAGAGCAGTACAGGCATCTACCCTGTAATCTTAATGATCTGTAACAGTGCCAAGCACAAAGGTACTCCAGTTGTGGCTGAGGATAACAGGCTGGTGCTGCAAACTATAGAAACCTTCAGACTATCACACAATCAAGATATTTTTATGTTTAAAATTAAATGTTCTGATTTTCATAGCCAGAGAAAAAGTCCAGAGAGCAGGCTGATCTGTCCCATTGTCACAGCCCTGCTGATGTCTCAGAGCCACAGTATGATTATATTAGGTCCCAGAGCACTTAACAAGAATCACACAAAGCGATGCTGCCCAGAAAGGACATCAGAATTAGCTTCAGCCTTTGGCAGAGCTTGTTGTGAAGTGGAAGCAAGATCAGCTGTGTGCCAATGACAATGAAGTGGGCTATGTGGATGCTGGACAAGACATAGGGAGGCATACAAAGCCTGATACCCTTGGATGAGAAAGAGCTTACTCACAGCTCCGCTTTAGAGTGGTTGGAAAGACCCTGTAGACAGCACTGTAAGGCTACCTCATAAGCTCCCTTTTGCTCAGCTGCTCCTGGTTTACAGATTAGTTTATCTGCAGAGATGAACAGTTTGAGTCAGCCAGCACAAGGTGTGAATTTGTGCTGAATCTGCCCATCTGTTCTCCCTCCCTTCCCCTTGCATTACTTCAAATTTACCCAGGCTTAAATTTTGTAATATATTTATTACCTCATAATTTACTTTGTTTTGACAAGAAAGCAAATAAATGAGCTGTTTGCTCAACCCCTCATTTTTATATATATTTTTAATTATCCATTTTTTCATTTAACTATCTTGGATTATGAAATTAGTTCGTATATAGACATCCCAAACCATGCTCTGATTTTTTCTCAGAGTGGGGTTCGCACAAGCAGTAGCTGCCCAATAGACATATGGGCAACTGACAGCATCGAGGCACCCCACCAGCAACTCTGTCGTCTGGCAGATTGCCTCAGAGAGTTGGGCTTGACGAATCAGTCCTTCTGCCAGTGCTGGGAGGGTGGGGGATGTCTGTGTCTCTCCTCCAGAAAACTGCTGCAAAAAGAGAAGGATGCATGGCAGTGATCGCTGTGATCTGAGCCACGTTGTGCTGCAAACAGAGTTGAGACAGCAGTGTCCAATCCTGCTAATTTGAGTATGCTGAGGCAGAATGTCACTTTGATTACTCCGTGGCAAAGATGGGTCACTACTGTAGTGCTCACTCTTCTCTCCCTTGGGGGTGGATGTAGGCACTGCTGCCAAGGTTTGGCAATGGCAGAGGTGAGGAAGGATGAAGGTAATAGGCTTTAAATGAGCCCTTCTCTTCATGCTTCTTCCCTTTCACCATTAAAAGAGGGACAGTTGCTTACCTGAGCTGAGCAGGGATGGGAGCTGATGGGGCCCCTGCTTCTGTCCTCTACTTCAGCCTCCTCTGGTTGCTGTTTTGGGTGCCTGTGTGACAGTGCCCTTCTCTGAGCTAGAGGAAGGAGGAATGGCCACCATGGAAAAAATCAACTTCAGACCCTGGCTTATCCTGTCCAGGGCCTTATAGTGGCTAGGATGGCTGCTGTCACCAGGCTGCTGGACAAGTAAAGGGCAGTGGCAGCCTCATCTCTGGGTAGTATCAGGCAAGCCTCCAGCATCCTCAGTGGCACTAGCAAAGCCACAATCTATCAATCTATCTACTAGACAAAAATTGTGCAAATGCACTTCATGCACATGCTTGGCACTTGTGCAATTTGCTTAGGGAGATGAAGCATATCTTGGACTCAAGGCTATATGTATATCTAGCAGTTTAAATTATATTTCTTTCTCTCAGGATAGTAACACCTTAAGAGGTAAAAGACTGCTTGCAAGGGGAAGGATGGAATAAACACTGGGAGTGGGATTCATGCCTGTGAAAAGTGCCAACAAAAGGAAGAGTCACAGTATGCTCAGTATTGTGTCTTTGAACAACAGCAGGATGGAGTGGGATGAAGAGGTGGCTAGACCTTGTGCTACACAAACTCTGCCTAATTGAAGCGTTTTACTGTTGTTTTTGTTTTGTTTTGCTTTGTTTTCACCAATGAAACACAATATTGTTGTTTGTTTCACCTTTCTGCTTTGTTTTCCCCATCCAGGCTCTCTCATAGTAGATAATTATACTGGCTGTGGATTAATTAGCTAATTATGCCAGAGCTGGAGTATATTTCAGAACAAATCCTTTTATTTGTTTGTTCTTAAGCAGGTTCCATTTGGGCTTTCTCCTAGAATTTTCCTCATATTTCACTGTGTGGCAGCACAGGTGTTTATAACTGGTTCCATCGGGGTTTATGAGTATGATGGTTATCCAAGTGGAATAAAAGGAATAGCACTTTGGAGGGCAAAGGTGACATTCTCCTGGGAGTAACACAGAAGCAGAAAACTTCCTGCAAAAGTTAGTTGATATTTTGGCTTTAAAGTAGAAAATAAAAATTACAATAAAGTTTTCCTCCCCCCAGAAAATGATTTTAATCTTCATATTAACATCTTTAAATGACATATTTTATCTAGCAAATATAAACTGGTTGAATTTGTTTTTGCAGTTCAAAACCAATAAACAAAAATTTTCTTTTTCCTCAGCAGGGTTTGTTTATCAGTATGTACATATTGGTGCTGTTGCCGGCTGTAGTGTAGGCAAAGATTAGGTCCTAAGGTGCTGAGCTGGAGGTGAATGGAATCAAAGCTGTGTTTATATACTCAGTCTTTCTTGGAAAACCCAAAGAACACAAGGAATAGCACAGAGAAGTAGGCAAAAATGTTGCTCCTTGGCAAGGTTATTACACAGGGCACTTGTTTCTGTTTCTGTAACACGAAATTGTAAAATGTTTTGGTTTTGCAGTTTGGTTTAGTTGTGGTATTTTTTATTTCCCTTCCCTTCCCTTCCCTTCCCTTCCCTTCCCTTCCCTTCCCTTCCCTTCCCTTCCCTTCCCTTCCCTTCCCTTCCTTCCCTTCCCTTCCCTTCCCTTCCCTTCCCTTCCCTTCCCTTCCCTTCCCTTCCCTTCCCACAGCAAAGTCCTGCAACCTCCTGTCAAAAACCATGTAACCGTGTAGTGGTGATGCCTGATCATACATCTCTATTCCTAATTATTGTCCTTTTAGACACAGTAGATGTTGTTCAATTATCAATGGTGGTATTGAGCAATATCTTAGTAAGACTTTTTGCTGTCTCACTGCTTTCACTGTGCGTATTTGGGATCGTGTTGTAGACAAATTTCTTCCTTCTTTCCTGGCATCTCTCAATGTGTCTAGTCACAGTAACAATGTCAAGTCTGTGACCAAACATTTGGTAAGTTGCATTTGCTAGGAACCTAGTCAGGCTGTCAGTGGTGACCTTATGGCTGTATGGCACTGAGACTCCAGCTTTGGTAGACACCTCCTGACAATTTCCTAACCCTCCCGTTTCACCAATTAAAACTGGGTTAACATATTTGCCAGGTTTTGTGTTCATCAGTTAGTGAAACACTGTATGCCTATGCAAGGTTAAAATTTATTTTCTACCTCTTTTTAAGCGATTTCAATTTTGAAGCTTGTGCCTCAGTTTACCCAAAGCAAGCCTTAATCAGCTGTATGATGGGACAGAACCATGAAGTAATAGATTGTTCAATACATTGAACAAGGAGCAGAATTAAAAACTAATAAAAAAAAATCCACACTAGTTAGTCTCACAGTTACTGCAGTATTGTGCAACATCTGTCTAGCACACCCTCTAAACACCTGCCTCTGCAACAGCTATGAAGAAGCAAACCATATATCAACTCAGTTTTATTTTCTCATCCTGTTTAAAATTGAACGAGCCCTGGAATATCTGTCCCATGAGAAATTCCAATATTGCAACATCTGTTTCTGTCAAGAATCGGGCTGAAAACTCTCCATAACACTTGTTTTGTTTGCTTATGGGGGAAACAAACACAACAAAACAACAACAACAACAACAAAACTTTAAAAATATTTCATTCAGAAATGTGAAAATGTGGCTATCAATCTCTTTGCAGCCTTGAAAACAATAACCCCATTGCCAACATCTGCAACATCATGCCCACAGAGGGTTGTTCTCCTCCTGGAAGCAGAATTTCCTAAATTGAGCACATCCACTTTGCTCTCCATCACCTGACTGTAGGGCTTTTCCCTTCCTGCATATTCTCCTTCATTTCAGCCCCTGTTGTGGCAAAGGGCTGGTCAGGACGTGCAAGAAGGAAGGACAGATGTCTGTGGAAGAATGGCAAAGGGGCCGAGGATGTGGTGGAGGAGCAGAACAAGGGCTGGAAGCAGAGCACCCCTCACAGGTGCCAGGGAGAAGAAGAGCACTGGGGCTCCCCACAGCTATAGCTTTCATTTTAATATTCCTGGCATGAGACAAGAAAAACCCGAATCTAGCAGAAACACCTATTTTAACTACTAAAAACTGTATTTCACTTGGGGTCTTTGACCAGCTTTGTCTTCAGAGTACCAAGGTTTTGCAAGATGCATCTAATATAGGAGCTGAACACATGGTCCAAGAGACATCAAACTCTTTTAAGATACCCGTGCAGTTTCCACAAGCTCCCTTAGTGACAGGGTGATTTCGTGTGAGTAATGAATCCCTCTACTGGACAGAAACCGAATGGCTCTGCCTTATGCAGCTACAGCTATGGGAGCTGAAAATCTCCCACTGCAATTCGTGTCCAGTGATCTGTCATATTTTTCAACTATTCTCTAACAAAAGCAACAGATTCTGTGCTTGTCCCATCCCGGCGGCACCCTCCCAGCTAAGGTTTGAGTGTAGGTGACACAATAAATCCCTCTCACATTTTCACATTTAGCTGTATTTTGAGCACAGGTTTTGTCTTTTTCCCTTGCAGTGCCGGCATAACTTACGAGGTGACATGCATTGCTGTTTATCGGCAGTGCTGTCTTTTACATGTTGTTCTAGTGACAGCTCAAAAAGGCATAGAGGTGCACAACATTTAGCAATGTTTAGGAGTGAAGATACAAGATAAAATATGAAAAGGGTGATATATGTGAGCACATTAAAAGGTACAGGAAGGCAGAGAGACATATTTGTTGGGGGGGGGAGGAGGAGGGGAGGACGGTCGAAGTGTCTTTATTTTTTCCTCTTCTGCTGCTTCCCAAATATGAATTAAATGTAATTTTGAGTAAGGTATTCCCAATTTATTTTCATTTTCCTCCCCTGTGGATTTTGGCTACAAAGGAAGAATTGAGTAGAGCTAAGCTAATAAGTAACTACAGACCATTTGTCAGGACTGGATCTTCTCCCACTTGTGGTTTAATCCATGAACAGACTGAGATTTTTTCAGCTTTGTTTTGTGTTTAGAATTACCAAAATGGAGATTTTGTGAGGCTTTGTACTAATCTGTGTAATTATGGAAGCTATGACTTTTGACATTTCTGTCCAAAGTTTTTTGTTTGTTTGTTTAAAAGTTTCCATTAGATATATCATTTGGGATTGTGTTTTATGAACTGACTGGCTGCTTATCTTTATGATCTCTCTTCTCAACCACATTATTTTGGGATACCCTTTCTGCTAACTGTTATTTTACTGAGCACTGATAGGTGAATATATACTTAGGACACAGTTTTGTCAGCCATTGTGGGATGGTGGTCCTGATATATATGTCACCTACAGAATGACAGCTACACTTGAGACTATCAAGAAGTGGAGGCAACATGCCATGAGGCCACAGAGATAAGAAATGCAGTATTACTTCTAAGAACAGGCCAACACAGTTCTCTAAGAATTCAGTATTTTCTGTGTTCCAGCACAGGAACAGTATGAGATGCTTTTGTTTGCTGTAGAGCAGGCCAAGAAGCAGAAGAACAGCCCTTTTGGTGGGTTCCAGTCCTATTTTACATCCTCATAAGCTATGGAAATTTCACTGCTCTTCAGTCATATTTGGATAAGCACCAAAACTTTGCAGAGTCTGACTGTTCAAAGAAATATTCAAGAAATTCCTTCATTAGACTCATTGCTAATCTTAATTATCTGTAGGTAGAATGACTCAAAAAATTATAAATATTTTCAGCCCAAATTCTAAGTGGGATTATACAACATGAAATAAAAATACAAAGGATATAATATTGTATTAAAAAAAATAAAAATTCACTAAAAGAACAGTAGTTAAGAAAAAATTACCTAATCTTTGATGTTGGAAATGGATAGCTGAAAAGGCCAAATTTTTATTTCTTGAACTGGCGAATTTTCTTATTAAAAATAGAAGATGCAAGATAGATCCTTCTCCACCTCCTTCTTGTCCTCCTCATCCTCTTCTTCCTCCTTCTTTCTCCTCCTTTCTCCTTCTCCTTCTTTCTCCTTCTCCTTCTCCTTCTCCTTCTCCTTCTCCTTCTCCTTCTCTTCTCCTTCTCCTTCTCCTTCTCCTTCTCCTTCTCCTTCTCCTTCTCCTTCTCCTTCTCCTTCTCCTTCTCTTCTCCTTCTCCTTCTCCTTCTCCTTCTCCTTCTCCTTCTCCTTCTCCTTCTCCTTCTCCTTCTCCTTCTCCTTCTCCTTCTCCTTCTCCTTCTCCTTCTCCTTCTCCTTCTCCTTCTCCTTCTCCTCTCCTTTCTTCTTCTTCATTACTATTATTCTTAATGTTATTCTTAATATTATTTGTATGTGTGTAAATAGATCACAGCTTCTTAATTATAAGTCTAGAAAAGCTCTATCTTAATCTTCAAAGCAGAACCTTATGGCACGCAGCTGAGTTTCTACATTTAACATTTTGGGAATTTCACACATGAAATTTTGTTCATGAAGAAGGTGAGTGCAGGCGACCACCTACACAAACATACCGCCTGGCCCCCCAAGAGAGGTTTCCATATCACCTAGCTTCAGTACGTAATTTAAGGGGTGATTTTGGAGGTCTCTCCAGGAGGGCTGCCCTCCCTTCCCTCTGACCATCCTTTCCTTGCCAGCTTGACTTACCACAGTCATGGGCAGCAGGGCTGACCCCTGTTGAGGCCAGGACTGGTGCAAAACTCTCTTAGTAGAGGTGTATTTTGGTGGCTAACTTCAACAGATACAACTGAATAGTGTGATTAGGACACTACTCCCATGGGCTGCCCCTCTGAAGGCTGGTTTGTTATATTATTATACAGATGTTTTTGGGATAAGTCATGTGCTTCAAAAGATGCTTCCCAGCACAACTGTAAATGAAAAGACTTTTGAAGATTCAGGTGCTGTGGACAAAAAGTGATGTCTGCCTGTTTCACATTTTCTTCCTGCAAAGTGAACAGAATATACATGTAGAAAGTGACAATAACCAACCTTAAATCACTTCTCTGTTTTTTTCCTACTGGTGATCTCTTTTTCATCCTCTTGTGTTATTTGCATATATTAATCTGAAAACTATAGACTGACTTGTGAAGAAACTCTTAGAGAGCTAGCATTTTTTTGTTGGTTTAGAAGGATTTATGGATTTATCAGTTTGAGGGATGTCCCATCATTTTCAAATGCTGAAGCTTTGAGTAAGTTACGGCCCCGAGGAGAGTGAAATACAACTATTAATTACTGACAGCAATGGGATATCCCTTCCTCCTTGGGCAACCTGTGCCATTATCAATATATCACATAACTTTTGTTGACCTTGAATGGAGAAAAGTAAAAGATAAAGGTCATCTTTATTTGATTTACATGACAAAAGCTTTGAAAATGCTTTATCATGAAAATATCAAAGATGTAATGCATAAAACCCAGGGGGTGAATAATAATGGCTTACCCCACAGACTATATGATGATCAAATTGACAATAGAGGCATGTCAACATTGAGCATTACTACGGAAACTGTAACAT